TCAGGCATAATGTATCGCAGCACAATCACCATTTGCGATTTACAGGAGACATCGGTTGTCTCGTCGGCCTGAACGGCAACAAATGATGTGTTGTCCACTTGCTTGGCTATTTCCTCCCTGTACACATCATACATGCAGTCCAAGAGTTCATTCTGTATGGTGCTTGATGTCCCTTTGAAAACAAGCTGAGCTTCGTAGTGCCGTTGAAGCCTGGAATCGCCCTCACACATTGTCTCGAAAATTGACCTGAATATCCCTGGATTCAGAGAGTCCGCCGACTCGTTGTGGCCCCGCAGTGCTGTCTCACATTTCCAACACAGTTTAATACAGGTGATGATCCGACCAAGCACGTACCTGTTTTCTTCCACCTTCCTATTATGAGAATCAATGCCGCGTCTGTAGGCGCTGTCAATCTGAGCTGCAACATTCACCCTTCCAAGTAATCCCAATTTTACGGCATTTTCCAAATGACTGTTGCTGCTCTCATGCTTCATTGTCCTCTCCGAAAGATGCTTTAAGTCCTTGTAACCTGTCCTCGACCAAGTACCTTGATCTTCACCAAAAAGCAGGCAAGGAAAGCAAAAGAGGGAATTCTTCTGGATGCTCGCCGTTAGCCATTTCTTTTTAGCAAACCACTCAGCGTTAAACCCACGTTTAACTTTGCCCGCAGTCTGGACCATTTGGAAATCCGGTGGATGGTGGGCACCGAGGCGCTTTACCTCCAGTTTCTCTCCGAGACTAAGTGTCTCAAACGTGTGCTCCAGTAAATGGTCAACTTCATTCATTTTCTTTCAGTTTTTTACTTCTTTTAATCGCTGGTGATGTTAGCTATATGCTGCTCTCTCGTCTCCTCTTCAAACTACACGTGACGTTTCGCAGCACTGCACACGTGAGTAGTTACAGCCAATCAATTCTGAATTATGTGAGATGACGTATGGTGGGGATGGGAGCACTATGCCCCTACGGTCATTATTTTTTTGCCACACACATTAAATAGAAAAATACTCTGAGCATGCGCAGTGTAGTTTTTACAATCACCGTTCACTTAGACAGTGAGAGGGAGGGGCAGGATCGGGTTTTGTCCCACATGGCTCTAAACAGCTCAAAACGGCACTCTAGACACTAATTAGAAGAACACAGACTAAAACAGAAATGTACAGACGAATCAGATTATTAAACATGACCTTAAAATATATTTTATATGTTTTTTTATTTATTTTTTAGTATTTTTTTGTAATCATTATTTATAATACTTTCTTCTGACACTAGGTGGGGCTGTGCCCCACCTGCCCCTAATGACCCGCCGCCACTGCCTACGAAGCTGGTTCACTTCTTACCGGGGGAGATTTCCATGGTAAGAGAACAACTCAATGAAACCGACCAATCAGAGGGGGGAAGTAGTGGAGTACAAATGCTTTTTTACTGTACTCAAGTACATCTTTCTGGTAGTACTTTACTCCACAACTTATTTTTCTGACGACTTTTAACTTTGACTTCTTACATTTTGAACACCAATATCTGTACTTTCTACTTCTTACATGTTGAACCCAAATACCTGTACTTTCTACTTCTTACATGTTGAACACAAATACCTGTACTTTCTACTTCTTACATGTTGAACCCAAATACCCTGTACTTTCTAACTTCTTACATGTTGAACCACAATACTGTACTTTCTACTTCTTACATGTTGAACCCAAATACCTGTACTTTCTACTTCTCACATGTTGAACTCAAATACCTGTACTTTCTACTTCTTACATGTTGAACCCAAATACCTGTACTTTCTACTTCTACATGTTGAACTCAAATACCTGTATCTTTCTACTTCTTACATGTTGAACCCAAATACCTGTACTTTTCTACTTCTTACATGTTGAACCTCAAATACCTGTACTTTTCTACTTCTTACATGTTGGAAACATCAAATACCTGTACTTCTTCTACTTCTACATGTTGAAACCCAAATACTGTACTTTCTACTTCTACATGTTGAACTCAAATACCTGTACTTTCTACTTCTTACATGTTGAACCCAAATACCTGTACTTTCTACTTCTTACATGTTGAACACAAATACCTGTACTTTCTACTTCTTACATGTTGAACTCAAATACCTGTACTTTCTACTTCTTACATGTTGAACTCAAATACCTGTACTTTCTACTTCTTACATGTTGAACCCAAATACCTGTACTTTCTACTTCTTACATGTTGAACACAAATACCTGTACTTTCTACTTCTTACATGTTGAACCCAAATACCTGTACTTTCTACTTCTTACATGTTGAACTCAAATACCTGTACTTTCTACTTCTCACATGTTGAACTCAAATACCTGTACTTTCTACTTCTCTCATTTTCCAAACAGCTGGTTCCTTTAGTCTGAATGTGTGTTTGATGCGTGATCATTATTCTTTAGAGTCATTGCGTGTCTATTGATTTGAACACGATCCGTGTATCCATCATTTCCTGGTCTTCTCTAAAGAAGAGGGACCAATGGAAACGTTGTCATGTTGCCGTTGTTCAGCATGGAAACATTCATTAGCTAGCAATGACATTATTGTTCTATTAAAGGTCCCATGTCATGCTTTTCCGGTTATCACCCGTCCCCTTGTGTTATGAAGGTTTTTCTGCATGTAAATGGTCTGCAGAGTCACAAACCCTCAAAGTACACCCTGTAGCGAGTAAAACTCGAACACAGAAAATACCTGTCTGTGCTGCCCCAGAACGCCTCGTTGGAGATTTCTAATTTTCCATTGTTTACTTCCTGGGTTCTGTGACGTGTGAACACCCAAATCAACAACAAATGGCCGGATTGGCCCAAATGGACCAATCCGCGGAGCAGCTCACACACCAGGATCCCTTGGCTAACTAATAATGGCGCATTTCCACTACAGCGCGGAGCTCGCTTTAAGCGTGCCGAGCCGCGCGGGGCCCGTTTTTGGTTGCGTTTCCACTTAACGTAGTTCCGGCTAGCGGGTACTATTTCATAGTTTTTCTGGCCCCATAAAATCGAGGTTCTTTCCGGGCCAACAACCAGGCTGAGTCGGGCTGAGTATGCTAAACTAGAGAGAGAATCGCTGGCAAGGGGGCTACAACTACAACAAGATGAACATATTTGACCGTGATGTAATTGTAATACACGTTTCAAAATGATGCCGAAGTAACAACATACTGATACCGGTTAGTAAAACCCATGAATTAATGCTTTGACAAGTCTGCAGACAGACGGCAGGCGGAAAACCTTTTAAAATGCGTGTTTTCTGAATGGAGATCGGCTAAGCTAATGTTCTATATGCTCCGACCGTCCACACTCACAACAACGGCCTACAGACAGAAATAAACCAGCGACTGTATTCTCCATGACACAGGCAGTCTGTGGTTTGTACTTGTTTAACTTCTGTCTAGTTTCTGAACAGATATGAGGAGCTGTGAGCTCTGAGTGCTAACAGCTAACGGCTGATGTTGTTTTTGTGTTTCGCATTGAAGATGACGTCACGGCTCCGCCTACACTGCGTTACTATAGTTACTGCCCCAGTTCCTAAACTGTAATGGAAATGTAGCATAAAGTGAGCCAGTCCTAACAAGGCCTAACGAGGCCTAGCCATACCGAGCGAGGCCGTGTAGTGGAAATGCACCATAACAGGGAGTCCCCATTGACTTGCATAGAGCTCCCTGAACGCTAGTAATAGAGGAGTTGGGATCGCGGAGGAATGCTCTCCGCAGACCCATTCTCATAGCGTTAGAAACCTTTTTCTTCCTCAATATCAAGCCACACTTATTGTTTTTACTTCGGCTGTGAGTGTTTGTGTGCTCAGGATGAGTTTCGCTTGTTCTCGCTGTATCGTCGACCCGGAAATCTGTCCGCTCCTCGCAGCAACGAGCCTCGCAACGTCCCGACCAATCAGAGCACACTGGGCTCACAGGAAGGGGGGGGGGGGGGGGGGAGCAGAGGCTCCAACAAGCCGTGTAGGACAGAGAGTGAATACACAGACTTTACAGAGATGCGGTGAGAAACCAATGTGAGTTTGGAACATTGAACAATGTGAATCTATTCTAGTAGACCTCAACAATGGAACTATGATCAGTAGAAATGGCCATGACCTGGGACCTTTAATATAAAGGGAGGTCAGGTACTCTTTAAAACAGCTGGTAGTTATGGGTACTTTTTACTGAAGTACATTTCAGAGCCCATACCTCTTTACTTTTCCTTAAGTAAAGAAGTTATATATTTGTTTCGCATGAATTGACTTTATCTGGTTTTAAGGCACATCTTTACCATACTTGATAGGTGCTTTTTATTTCTATATTCTAACTGGATGAAGGGTTTTAGTTATCAGACAAACAAGCTGAGAAAACATTAGCAGCAGCAAAACAGTGTGAGAGAAACACGGATTAAAAGTGTTAAAAACTGTGAATTAAGTGGTTTCACGTTAAAAATCAGAGGAGAGGAGAAGTTGACAGATATGGTGGAGAAAACTTTTGTTACGGTTTGAATAAAACGTTTCTAAACTTTCCTCAAAAATTAACAAAGCACCAATCCTCAGAAAAAACCTCATACTTTAATGTCGTGCTGCATCACGGGCAGGGAAGAGAGTGGCCGACCCCTCCCACAAACTGTCCACCCCCCTCCCCTCTGGCAGGAGGCTCCATCAGGACCAAAACCTCTCTCCACCTGAACAGTCTCTTCCCCTCCGCTGCCGGCCTCTTAAACACGGCCCGGCCCCCCACTGACACTTACCTCAGCCACAACGTAGTCTCTTTATGCATTAATGCACACAATGTTCATACTGCTTACTGCACATGTTTCATATCCTCTAATTCATTCATTGCATTCTGTTTCCATGTAAATGACTGCTTTATTTTATTGCTATTTAACTGTATTTTATTACGGTGTCCTTAAAGATTTCTTGTTTTATATCTGCACCATGACATCAAGTCAAATGTGTGAACCTACCTGGCGATAAACCTGGTTCTGATTCTGAAAACAAACATCCAGATGTGGAATAAGCTTTATTTAGAGCAAAAACAAATAATTAAAATGAACATTTAACAGAAACTCGTCCTCTCCTGTAGAGAAAGAGGCCAAACTGTCCTGCAGCAAATCTCTTCTAAATAAAAGTGTCTTTCTCCGAGCTACTGCTGCTTCTTGGGGAGAGGCTTCAGAGCTCCTTCCCTCGACAGCCTGTCCGCCTCCTCGTTCCCTCTGATGCCCGAGTGACCCGGGACATGCAACTGGAGGAAGAAGAGGAACAAATACATTAGTTTTCTGACCAGGCTTCTAATGTGACTACCTCAGCTCGAGCTGCTTGTTCGGACTGATTTGACTTTTAAGATAGTGTTGTCGTTCCAAATAAACTCAGATTCTCCAGAAAGCTCCAATTAAAATGACAAATATAATTCCCTGAGGTCAAAATGTGATGGTAGTGGTACCTATTTATTATCCTCACATGGGCAACGTCACTCGGAGTCGTCACGTAAATTATTTTAAGTCATAAACACCTTTCATCCAACGTAACCTCGATCAATAATTCAATAATTGTGAAAGTTTTAAAACCACAGAGAGCAGAGACGATAAGTGACAAATAATCACTAACCATATTAATTAACACAATCTTTCACACATAAGAGTCAGAAAAAGCTGTCTTCAGGCTTAGATATTAATATCCCATGCTTTTATCTGTGCCTCTCATGTTACCTTGAATATATTTTGTAATTGAAATGACAGAATAATACATTTGAAAGCCCTCTCAGTTTTTGAAGGGTATTGTTCGAGCCACAAAGTTATTATTTCGATTCATAATTTGATAAATGATTTAATGATGGAAAATGATTTATGTTGCCATGGTGAATATGTTTTGAGGAAATGATTGTTCATTTTATATCGTACATATGATCTGTTTCCTTGTACCTTCCGGTGTGTATTTAAGTGAGGTAATTGAGGACAGCCGGCGTGCTCGGAGACCTGATGACACGGGGAGCGGAACAGTTTTTCGACCGCAAATTGTAAAGAGAGATTAGTGTTGCAAATTGGACTGCAAAGTATAGTTTATATAGGAAAGCATACCGCCGAAATATTGATTTAGATTTGCTATTTTGAGACTATTTAAGTAAGTCAATACTTTTTTGTTAATAAATTACATGTTTTGACTGAAGACCTTCGGCTGCTTATTGCTTTGGATTGCGTGTCGTCAACCCCGCTCTGTAGTGGCAAGAGGAAACCTTGGATGCCATTACAGGTACTCAAAGACACTTTACAGGCTAACATTAAAACAGTGCCAGTCTGTTAAACCTAACATTGGTGTTATATTGATTTGTAATTGATCCTTATTCCGGAGGTCGAAGTTAATCTTAAATGTTTCCATCTTATGCTTTGTAAGTTTGTTTCGTAACGGAGGAAATTTAAATATATTTATAAAACTGACAAGTCAAATCAAGCAATCTGATTGGTCGATAGCATTTTTGAGGACCTCTTTGATTACAGATTTGAAAACATCGTTCCTTGCTTTAAAAGTAGCTCAATTCATGAAGTCAAACCTTGGAAAGTATCTAGATATCCTGCCCTGATGCCAGAGGAACTGCACACTGAATATGTGTCGCCGTCTGATGTCTATGTCTGGAGCGCTGCGTGAAAAGGAGGGTTTCCTGCCCCGTTGCTTCTCCGCTGCTTTCTTGTTCCAGTCTGCTTTTCGGCCCAACGGTATACTGTTTTTCTCAGACGCGGAGGGATACTGACTTGTTGTGAAAAGGCACGTTCTATTTGATCGTTGTTTGATCGTGGAATCAAACACGCCTATTGACCAATCAGAGAGCTTGCTCACACCTATGTGTTCTAGATTGATTTGTAATTGATCCTTATGTTGACTGTCTTCACGTTAAGCTTAAAATATGAGAAACAAGAACAAAACGTAGCTGTTCTATAATACACATTGTTTTTCACTAAATGAAGGCAGAGTCACACAACAACGTTTTTGTACGTTGCTGCTTTGGTGGAGGAGAAATGAAAGCTCTCTAAATCATCCATTTCAGAAAGTACAAGTTAGAAATGGGGCGACTTTTCATTTAACAATATCAACTCCTTAGCTTTCAGTGTTTCTGCATTTACCCAGACCACCTCCACCTCCGCGTTCAGTTCGTCCAGCTTCATGAAGTCCTCTTTGTTTGTGATCGGACCTCCAGTCTTCAGCCTCCAGCCGTTCACCTTCCAGGTCTTCACCCAGCTGGTCACACCTGCAGCACAACACACACCAGACGTCACACACACACCAGACGACACACACACACACACCAGACGACACACACACACACACCAGACGACACACACACACACCAGACGTCACACACACACACCAGACGACACACACACACACCAGACGTCACACACACACACCAGACGACACACACACACACCAGACGACACACACACACACCAGACGACACACACACACACCAGACGTCACACACACACACAGAGACACCACACACACACCAGACGTCACACACACACACCAGACGTCACACACCAACACACCAACACACACACCAGACGTCACACACACACACACAC